CAAATGCAATTGAAACTCGGGCCCTGACTAAACTGCTAAAACACAGTTTCAAATGCAATTACAAACTGTAACCCTGACTGCGCCGTAGTTTTCTCTAAAGTATAACAAAGAAAACGCCTATGATCACATCATGGCGTCATTTTGTGCAGCCGCACGTGTCCGAGGGCGTTGCAAGGTGTTGTTTCTTATTCACAATGACCACTCCGCAACCACAAGCATGACCGATGCGGATGGCATCGATATGGGAAGGCAAGTAGAATTCGGAGAAGGATTAAAGAACGACCAATCCTGAAGAAAAATTTTGATGCGGTTGAATGAATTAAATGCGAGTTCTCCTATTGGAGGAAGCGAAGCCTGTACTGGAAGTGAAGGCAGTCCAGACGGGGCCCACAATGTTCGAAATCGGAGGAAGGATATGAGGCCGGCATATGGGGCGCCAGGTGTTGCTCATGTTCACTATGTTTGTGCTCACCCACAGCCGATGCCTCGCTCCACAAGCTCAACATAGTCTGACACACCCAGACTTCAGCACCCGTATACCACCACGGCGCATGACCGGAAGGGAAGGTAGGGCAGTGTTTCCACTTCGCATTGTATAAGGTTCCCATCACACGCCAGGTGTCAGAGCACCTGCCACTGATGCGGTCCACTCACATTCCCCGTACTTGGACTCCACTCAGCCTCAAAAGTGAAGTACCTGGTAAGATGCACAGAAAAGAAGCAGGCCTGAGCCCTCTGCGTCATCCTGGGTAGGGACAGATCGTTACAGCCCCCGCAGATACAGGAACCTTTCTATTTTTAGTAGTCTGAAATGACTTTCTCATTTTTCAAACGTCAAAAGAAATTACGTTTTTTATCAAAAAAATAGGGAGAACCCTGTCACGCATGATTGCTATCAATGCAAACTGTCTTCACCCAAATAAATCGCCCGGTAATCATAGCCGTGCTCTCGACCGCTGTAGGCTGTCCAATTTTGGATCATGGTAGTGCATCCCTCCACTACCATCCAATTTCGCACATTGCCAACCTTGCAGATAGCTGTCAGAATCAACTCTACGAATGCAGTTTCCAACCCCGGATAGTTCCACGCCTGCAACCTCAGTTATTTGGAAGGTCCTCCCCAAGCCAAGGGGGTTATTTGGAAGGTCCACGCCAAACCAAGGGGGTTATTTGGAAGGTCCTCCCCAAACCAAGGGTCTCGCTGCACTACTCTCAACTCTCCGAAAATTCGAAGAGTTCGCGGAGAGCTGAAAAGCTCTCCAAATTCGTGATTCTGGGTTCACCGCTGCACTAGGTATCCACTCTCCGAACTCCAATTCGTGAGTGCACTGGCAGACAGGGTGACATCACTGGAGGACACTGCATGATTTGCACTTTGTGCGCCCAAACTCCAGGCATAGGGTCTCGCTGCACTACTCTACTTTGCGCAAATTGGGAGAGTTATGCATCCCTGCACTAACTCTCCTATAGAACCCCAAAAGAAATTCGGAGAGCTGTCAGAAACCACAAAAGAATTGCACTCTCCACCGTCGGAGAGTGCCCAGCCTGCAACATCTGTTGATTTGCTCCAAATCTGGATAGTGAACCTTGAGTCTGGGCAGACAAAAGGGGACTTTGAGCTGTCTTTTTGTACCCTGGATACTTGTAGAGTCTGAGTTTGTAGAGTTAGTGCAGCGATGACCCAAAATCCGGGAACCGCGATACTCTCCTATTTCCCAGAGAGAGGACAGTAGTGCAGCAAGACCCATACTCTCCGAATTTGGAGCATTCTGGAGAGTCCAGCGGAGGTCCATCTAGAGAACCACCACTGCAGGCTGGGCACTCTTGGCCTGCGGGGAGTGCTTTTCCAAGGCATCCAGCGGCCTAGCTCAGTTGGTAAGGCACGCAAGTGGCATTCAGGAGGTCTTGGGTTCAATCCCCATTGGCCTCATGTACCTACCTGGGCAAGCTCGGCGCCCATCACCTAGAGATATGCCGTTGGTCCCCCCGAGTGGCATTGAGCAGAGACTGCTGGCTTTCATAGGGGGAGGGGACCGGCAGGGAGGCACAGTGACTGGCCCATCAAAGAAGCTCGGTCCTGATGCTACCGACTGACCCCTGGCCAGTATTGCCCACCTGCTGTGGCAGGTATCGCACCTGCTGGTGGGTGCAGCTCCCGCATGTTCCCTCGTTGGAGGCTTGAGCACGGATGTGGCTGGTACGGGGTTCCCCGTAATAATACTATAATGACAATAAAAAAGGCCTGAAAGGCTGTCCTGTCCAGATTTGACAGGTAATTGAATTGGCTGCTACGGGGTTCCCCGTAATAATACTATAATGACAATAAAAAAGGCCTGAAAGGCCGTTCTGTCCAGATTTGACAGGTAATTGAATTGGCTGCTACGGGGTTCCCCGTAATAATACTATAATGACAATAAAAAAGGCCTGAAAGGCCGTTCTGTCCAGATTTGACAGGTAATTGAATTGGCTGCTACGGGGTTCCCCGTAATAATACTATAATGACAATAAAAAAGTTCCAAGGCAGTTGCTGACAGCTATCCGAAGGTTTTTGAGGGGCGGAATCGGATAGTTTATTGCAGCTATCAGCCTATCAAAAACTCTCCGACTTGGAGAGTGGAGAGTAGTGCAGCGAGACCCCAAGGATGGGATGCTGAAATTGGAGAGTGTACCTGGAGTCTGGGCAGACAAATCTGGGTACGGCAAATCTGGGTAGACGTGTCTTTTGCTATTGGCGTGCCTGCAGTGGATAGTCGTGCTGAGGACAGTAGTGAAGCCATGGCGCTTTTTTCTTTGGGCCTCCCCACACCACTGTCGAAACGAAAAAGAAAGAATGCATCTATCCCAGAAAGTCGTAAGATGCATCCCTTGCTTTTCATAGTAAAGGATGCATCTTGCCACGCTCTGCGTGAAGATGCACTCGCACTTTTTTCGTTTCGACAGTGGTGTGGCGAAGCCCTAACATTTGGAGAGTCTGACAAGGACTCTCCGAACTTGTGGACAGAGGACAGTGGTGGAGCCAGACCCGTATTGGTGCAGTTCTCAGTCCGGATGCGGCTATAATGACCAGGCGTCCTATTCAGGTGAAGAAGGTAGTCGCTCCGAGCCCCTGTTTCGCTGTCCCAATACCTGCCCAGACCGGTATGCTTGCCACTTTTTTTTTCCTTTTTTTTTTCTTGAGAACTAATATATATTATTCTCAAAGGCAAAACAGAAGTTGAGAGAAGAATATAGAAGGGAAGAATTCCAAAAAAAAAAAAAAAAAAAAAATCTTCTTTTTATGTTTCGAAAACCTCTATATCTGCTACTTGCCCGGGGCAAGGTTTCACTTCCACAGATTAAGAGATTCTGGCCGTCGATCTTTGCTATCTACGGTCAGTATCTCTTAATTCGTGCAAGTGGGACCTAGCCCCCGAAAATGAACTCATCAGAAAGTGCGTGGGTTCGCATGAACGACTACGTCGCATGACCTGTACCTGGACACAACGTTTCGGGACGCGCAGTCCATCTTACAAACGCGTGCATCCCGCGACACACTCGCCCTCTCCAAGATCTCTCTCTCTCTCTCTCTCTCTCTCTCTCTCTCTCTCTCGCTCTGTGTTGTCATATTCGCTCTAGACTCAAAAAAAGCATGACCGTACCAGACTCTGTGTGTGTGTGAGTGTGTGTGTGTGTGTGTGTGTGTGTGTGTGTGCACCCCCTCCATGCCTCCTGTGACGAGTGAAATAATATACAAGCTCACTTCAGAGACGATGATTCCACATATTAATTGCGAGTGACGCCAACGGATAAGCCCCTCCCTGCCTCCCGTGACGAGTGAAATTATATACAAGCCCACTTCAGAGACGATGATTCCACGTATAAATTGCGATTGACGCCAACGGATAAGCCCCTCCCTGCCTCCTGTGACGAGTGAAATTGTATACAAGCCCACTTCGGAGACGATGAATCCACGTATTAAATTGCCAGTGGCGCTAACGCATAAGCAGTCAGCCTTGCAAGGCCAGCGGCGCCCGTGCAGCAGCAGTGAGGTGGTGCTCTTTGCCAGCGGAGCCATAGCTGAGCTTCCGGTCTGCGACAGGAGCTCTGAGTTGTGAGCTGTGAGCAGTGTGAGGTAAATGCTTGTTGGGTTATGGGACTGTTGTTTCATGCGTCCACTGTGGGCTTTTTGTTGCAACCCTTGGGACTTTTCCAACGTAGCATTCCGACATGCCTCCTATCTTCCGCACTACGTTTTTTCCACTCCCCGTTTGCACCTCCCATCCTGACCGTGATGTCTGATTCAGAGCGCACTCACATTAGGATTTTATCCACTAAGCTCTGGACGTAATAGCGGTCAGATTCATTCAGGTCTGGCCGTAATTGCTTCCAGGGCATCAACGCCAGCAGTAACCGGCCGGGCATTCGCTACGATAAGAGTAGGGGGACGCTTCTGCTCCCACCATTAATCTAATTTATTTCTATTTTTATATTATTATTATTATTATTATTATTATTATTATTATTATTATTATTTCAGAAATTGAGCGTTTTTTACGGTGTATTCTTTCGGTAGTAACTCAAGGGACGGCATGGCATTGTCTATTGTCTATTTGGTTTGTCTATTGTTTTTCCTCTACTCTCCAACCCTATGCAAGCTACTTGCGAGTGTATAACGGCCGATGGATCGATGGATGCTCTGCGTGATGGATTTTTTCAAGTCGTTTGGGTTTAGGGTGGAGGGTCGTGGACGGAGTGTGCTGCTTTGCTTTTGTTGCAAAAGGACCGAAGGTTGATTGGTGTTTTAAGCACGTGTCAGGTCGTCTGTTTGAATGAAGGTCTGCTTCTTCGTATCTTGGATCGGCATCTTTGATCGATCGCGTTACCGCGTGTACGCGATTCGTAGTCTTAAGAGGGTCCTGGCCGGAGAATGTCAGGTCGTCGTCTGCAAAAACTTCCAAAAAGGAGTCATGTGTGGTGGTTGGTGTCGAGGAGAAGCATGTTTGATGGATTGTGTGTATGCAGCTCGAAGGATTGGCTACTTTTAAGATCTGTTAGGACGAAGTATACGTGAGTTCGGTTGCGTTTGAAGAAGAATATCGCATGAATGATGTATGTATGTATGCGCAGTGTGCTCATCCACAGTACGGAATTATTAGTAACGGGTACTAGGATGTAGACACAGTTCTCCAGAGTATGGTTATGGATCATGTATAGTCATGTATATACATTCATCTTCTTCTTTTTCCTGGGGTTGAACCCGGTAGAGAGAGAGAGAGAGAGAGAGAGAGAGAGAGAGAGAGAGAGAGAGAGAGAGAGAGAGAGAGAGAGAGAGAGAGAGAGGGG